ATCTGATCAGGGAGACTTGGTCAACAAGCTTTAAACTGTTAATGCAAAAAAAAGGGAGGCACTAATAGAGTTCAACCATGAAGGTCTAACACCAGAGCAAAAATTCTGTTAGATGGAAAAGAAATTTATAGTGTCCAATATTCTGTGCCAATTCTTTTTGAATGTTGGATGTCACTTTGAGCTTCCAGTCAGGTTTTGAAGCACATGCCTCTCAAAATTCTTCACAGCCATGGTCTTTATCAGTACATAACCACTGGCTGCCTGTTTTCAAGGGTTGTTTCCTGCCTTAGGTCTTAGTTCAATTCATCCAGGTTAATGATGTCCAATCAAGGTTAGCCAGTATGCAAGCCAGGCTATTACATTTTCTTAAATTGCACATAGTGAGCCCTAGGACTCCCAATCTGAGCCCACCAGTGCAAGACATTCAGGGCTTAGGTTTGGAGATCTCTTTTCTGCTACTCCCTAGTCAGGGCATATGAATTGCAAATCACCTGAGGGGGCCTGGTTCCCTCCCCCTTGGGATTTTGCTGGAAGTTGTTCCTACAAAGTTTTAATGACACAGGGCAAGAATCAAGCTGGAGCTTTACTGAAGGAAGGTGAAAGAGACTCAGTGTGATTATGAATGGTGTGTGTGTGTGTGTGTGTGTGTGTATGTATGTATGGCTACTAATACAAAACAGGCAATACAAACATTCTGGATAAATTCTGCATAAAGATCCTTTGAGGAAATATATTTTTCTGCCTTTTTAATATTTCCTTCTCTGGGGGGCTGACTTCCCACAAACGGTCACTAAATGAACTGTTTATGTTTAGGACTACCTGTACTGATTATTTGTTTTTTCAGCTGTTCCTTTTAACCATCCAGGATATTCTAGGGCAGACCTCAGAGAGTGACTGTTTTTTAGGGAGGGTGGAAAGACTTTAATTTCACCATTGAGCAATACATCAAAAACTTTCAGGCAGATTATGAAAGTCTCAATAAACATGTTGGGCTTTTAGCACAACACTTGTTAATCTCACATCAGTCTAGCCACTCTGTGCATCTAATGAAGTGAGCTACAACTCACAAAAACTTATACCTTTTTATAAAATGTGTTAGTTGGAAAAGGTGCTATCAGGTTCCTTATATTTTGCCTGCTAGACATAGTGGATCTTGTCTCTTCAATCTATTGCTGGCCACCAGGGAAAAAATTTTTTTTTTGCATTACTTTTTCTCCTTGCAGAAATATTGTACAATAGATTCTTGCTTCTCCAGAACTCTGCCATCTAGGGACAGACTTACAATCTGCATGATAGGGAGTCTAGACATTGTTCATCAGAATAATTAGCACATTGCAAAACACTTCGTTAAATGAAGTAAGTGGTCTCTCCTTGAAGTCTTGTTTGTTTTATTCGAATATGCAAATGGTTTTGAACATCCTCCCTTTATTAACTTCTCTGTCTATGCAACTTCCTTACTTTTGGTAACCGTAGTCCAAGAACCAAAATCAAATGAGGATTCAAATCCTCCTTTGTTGGCTAACTAGAATAAGCCCTAATTTCCCACATTTAAAAAAAATTAGCCAAACTCCCCCAAAACACACATTCACCCTCCTTGCTTCCCAAATAATAGGGAAGAGAAGCACATGAATACTTGAGATTCATTACTAAGAACATTGTATACCAACACCATCACCTTATCATCAGTGTTATAATATAAAGTAACACATTAGTGATCTAATTAGCTTAATCTAAACAATATAAGCCACAAAATAATGGTTTGTAATTTGGAGTGATTAGGTTTGTAACATACTGACCCAAATCACACCAATCACATTACAACGTAATAACATCCAGACCTCCATTCCTCCTTTATTCAAGAATAGCAAAGGCAAAGATTTGTACACCTCCCAATAATACTTTTGGAGAGATTGGCAAGTATACAAATGTAATTAATAAAAATCAGTATGATTAGTTCTGGGGGTATTTAGTAGGTATTAGCCATGTCTTCTCATCTCTATGGCCAGATTTATCGAATAAACCACAATTGACTGAGTTCATGCAACAAAACCATAATATGGCTTGCTTGTTTGCCCTTAGCAAAAAAATATGCAGCTCTAGCTATAGTATTAACACTTGGTTTCAGTTTAGCATACTGTACAAATTCAGCCATTCTCCCTCCCAGAAAAATGCATTGCATGTACCCAGCTGCAATGACACATCCTAAAAATCAGATAAGTTGGCTAATCTCAGGTTACACAGACAATCACTTTTTGGATCCTAAAACCACTGTCTTTTGATTCGTAGGTGACAAAATGTGCCCCGCCATCTTTTTACCTGGATCAGCCTTCCATGTGTTGCTGCAAATCCAGTTTCTTAAATTCAAGATTCCTACATTCCTTCAAGAAAAAATCACTGGCTTCATGTAAGCTGCAGATTACATCTGTGCCAGCACCAAGTAATTCTAACACCCATCTTGCACAAAGGACAGTGAGTGGCATTCCTTGAGCAAAACCAGTCAATCCTCAGAACACAATTTTACTACAAAGGAAAGGGAGTGTGGTTAAGTCAAGGATCTCTTTAGGTATTGGTCAGAAGGCAGGGGGGTGGACTAAAAGCAGCCTTCTCCATTTTGGTGCATTCTTGCCTCCTTTGATTAAGTACCATGCCCACCATCTTCAATCCACAGACCGTCCATTCTGCTACCAAGGATAATGAGAATTGTGATCCAAGGCACCTACTAGGAACCAGGTTAGGGAAGGTGAGGGTGGAATTGGGATTCGGCGACTTAAAGACTGGTCCCTCCCTTCCTGCTTATTTGAATGTATTTCACCCTTTCACCTCTTCAAGATATAAATAATAGTCATTTGTCAAGAACAGTGGAAAAACCCAGAAATTTAGCAAACCTCTATGTGGTTCTGGCAGCAGAATACTACCTTCCCCCAAAGAGGAGATTCCCAAGCTTTGAGAGGGCTATGCAACCAAAAAGTAGATTATACACACAGAATGAAGCAAATGCAAATTAATCTTGGCTGGGTTTCATCTTTGCTGCCCTTTAAGATTGCATTGTGGGATCACAGTTGGTTAATTCCCCTATGGCCTAGTATGGTTCCCAAGCTCTAAAGAACTGGGCTAGAAGCTCAACAGTAGCAATGAATGAGGATGTTAAATCAAGTAAGCTACCCAACTTCTTCCCTGAGAAATTATGTCGGGTTTGTTTTTTAAACCATTTTTACTTCATTTCTCATGAATGTAAGAGTTTTCTCTGGCTGGCTGCTGAAATGCCTTTATGCAAAATTAACAGGTTCTACAAGAATCTGGGTTCTCATACCCACGTATTTCAAATCTCCCAACAGAGGAGTCTTCTAAAAGTTCTGGATTTTAATTCCCCAAATCCTGAGGATGCATAGCCAGAGACCATGTTGAACTGAGGATTGTAGGGCTTGCTCCATCTGATCCAAAATCTGCCAGTACAAAGAGGGATCCTCCTGAAAAAAATAAATGAGCCGACTCTTACGGGAGCATCCAGGGTTTGATAAAGTATAGATAAATTTTGCTTTTGCTGTCAATTACATAACTAATGAAGCTTTTGCTGGGACAAAAGTCTCAGGTTGATAGCACGGTCACAGTGCCCTTTGCCCCAACTGAGGAGCCCAGAGTTGGGTGTGGTGATTAGAAAACAACTTGACATACTTTCATTCCTTCTGCAAGAGAGTTTGATCCTGAACAGGGGAAAAAAAAACCCTGAGCATTACAGCAAGCAGCTAATTCTAGGGTAAGGAAATTCTCCATACTCCTTAAATCCAAAGTTTCAAGAAACTGTTGAAGGAAAAATCTTCATCATGGTCCAATCCAAGCCGGGAATAAACGACATGGAGACTCTTTTAGAAAGAAGGTTGTAATTTATTGAAGAGGAGAGCCAGACAGAAAGATGGCTCTGGGAAAAAAAAGTGACCACATGTAGTAGGGAGTGGGTTTTTATACCTTCTTGGGCTTTTGTTTGGAGTTGTTCCTATGGCATGAACTTTGACCTGAGTCTGAGTGTGCCTTTCTGGTATTCTGATGGTGGTGGGTTAATCCTATTATGTCCCAAAAATCATAGCCTGCTTCCCTGGGGCTGTGGCTGATGACTGTTGGATTTTTGGTGTGAGGGATTGTTGATTCTAGGGATCTTTCTTCCTAATCCCAGTTTCCTGACTCCAATCTTTCTGATAAGATTATCACATCTGCATTTCTGCAGACCTGATTTCTGTTTGGGGCAGAGAGACTTGCGGGGGGGGGGGTTGCCTTTAAAATCCTTGGGGGAAATATATTCTGCCTTTTTAATATTTCCCAAAATATTTCTTTCTCTGGATTATTCCCACAAAGCCAAGCCCAGAATCTCTGATTCCTTCTATATATTTTGGCTAAAATCAAGTATAATATCCCATTCTCCCATTATTTGTTCCAAAGCCTCTAACAGGACACCTCTGCCCGTTGTCTAACAGCATAGTAAGCAGGACTGTGCCAGTTCCCCACTTAGTATACCTATATTTCAGTGCAATTTATCATGGTCCCTAGCTATGAGGAAGAAAACCTTTTGCTTTAATTCTTGGCAGGAGCCTAGCCTTGCTGATTGGCTGTTGAGTCAGAGGAAAGGCCATAAACCTTTATCCATATAATTGTAATAGAGACTTAAGCCTCCCTGGTTTCCCTCTTTAATTCTTGTGGCATCCACTTGCAAGTCAGAAGCCTTTTGGAGAAGGTCGAGGAGGTTTTCTGCACTTAGCAGACTCGAGAAATCATCTTGTCAATGGATATAGTTAAAGATCCCAGGAAACCTGGCTTGTAATTATTTTGTCTAATGGTTATTACCTGGGTCCATAGAATTCAGGGATATGGTCTCTGTCCTGGGCTCCATTTTGTTGGTTCCATTTTGTTCCCCCATCTAATCCTGATTCCTGGAACTTGAGGCCATAGTTAATGGTCTTCTCCTGTTTTGTTGTTACTGTTTGTTTTTTGCCTTCAGGTGTACCATCACCATGTTGCTTTGGCCTCTGCTTCCTGTGTTCCTGGCTGCAGTCGGCATTTGTGGCTTCTGGGTTGTGTGAGTAATAAATGCATGGTGGGGCAAATAGGTGAGGCTCAGGGCTGGTATGGGGAATGGAAGCACAAATTAGATCTTGTGTTGGGGATGGGGATGGGAAACTCAGAGGTAGCAGAAAAGTCCAATTGATTTCCTGGACTCTGAAATGCCTTGTGAGAAAGATGGTGGGAAACTGGTTGAAGATATGCTGCCAAGAATGGTCAGACAAGAGACAGCATAGCCCACAGTTGGATAGTGGGTGGGGCAAAAGCTCAAAAGAGACCCTCCCTAGTTTCTTGGGCTGTAAAAGGGCTGGAGAATTGTACTTTCAGGCTTGCAAGATTCTATCAAAGTAGCTGTAGAATAAAGTGGAATTAGCTCATCTGGTCTGGTTTACTGAGACAGACTCCTTGGCAGAAAGGTTTTATAACAGTGGTGGCGAACCTATGGTACGGGTGCCAGAGGTGGAACTCGGAGCCCTCTCTGGGCACACGTGCCGTTGCTCCAGCCTTGCCTCCACCCGTGATCCCCTCCTCACCAGTAGCCCTCCTGGAGGAGAGTCACCCCTGAGCGTGGCCCACATGGAGCAGCGCAGCCAAGGACATGGCAGCCAGGCAGTATAGACAAGCCTCTGCCCTCACACCCCATCCCGCACAGTTGATGCTGCGGGGCATGGGCAGAGGGCGTGGCCGCCATGGCGCTGCTGGGCTCCCTGGGCGATCTGCAGCGGGCCCTGGAGGTAGTGAGTGGCCCTGCAGGCAGGCAGGGTGGGGCGGAGTGGGGGCAGGGCAGGGGTGGAGCGGGGACAGGGCCAGTTTTTGGGCACTCGGTCTCTAAAAGGTTCGCCATCACTGTTTTATAATTATGGGTGGGAATCTTTGTTCTTTCCTGCAAAAGGGATTCTTGTCGAAGACCTGACACATTCCTATAGGAGAGACCTTTTGCCTCTCTGAAATGAGGTGTATCCAACATATAACTAAATCTGCTACTCCCGTCCTTTTAACTATTACAATAGTTTGATCTGCAGCCGTCCTAAATAAGTTGTCCTGTTGACTTCCTTTGTTGTGGAACAATATAGGGCATAATAAGATGTTGCATAACAAGGTGCATATGTTAACAGAGAAAAGCAGGCATGGCTTCACCCTGGCTTATGTTTTAATGGTACAAAATAGGGTTTTCTTTTAATCTTTAATTAGGCAATTTGATCATCTTTCTACAAAGAATCTTTTTGTTAAAGGGCTCTATAATTGGACTAAATTGGCTTACTTTGGCGGAATTGTACAGTTCTGTGGGAATTGTTGCATCAGTTTGGCAGTACAGTTCCTCTCGCACAGACATGTCAAACTCAAGGCCGGCGGGCCAGATCCAGCCTGTGATGTGTTTAGATCTGGTCCGCAAGCAGACAAGTAGGAGGAGTTGATTGAGTAATTACTTCCTCGCTTCTTCCGGTGTCTTGTCAGTGACAGCAGCGCTAGAAGAGGATGGGCAGCGGGAGCCTCTACAATGCATGGAGCTGTGGTAGCGGTAACCATAGCATGGGTCTATGATGACTCACAGTGGCCAGGTGGGCATGGTTGGGTAGGCATGGCTCGATAGGTACAACTGTCCTAGCCCCACTGACTTCAGATGGCTGGGTCGGCCCGGAACAAGTTGCACCACCTAATTTGATGTGGGGACAACTCAGTACCCCACAAGCTCCTCACTTCCCCAAACTGCTGTCAGCCAAGTGCATACACACACACACACACACACACACACAGAGCCCACATTCCATTTTAACCACAGAGGAAGGAGAGGTCCTTCTCCCCAAGCCCAGGCATGATTGGCAGCTTGCCAGCTCAGATGTGGATAAAAGTCTTTGAACTTGGAATAGTATGTGTGTGCATGCGTGCGGGCATGCGTGCGGGCATGCGTGCAGCACATCAAAGGAGACGTTCTTCTCCCAATGCCAGACATCCGAGCATTGGCGTTTTCCGGTCCGGTGTCCCCTCCTGGCAAAGCAGGAGGCAGAGGGCGATGCTATTGTGCATGGAAGCACGAAGTCAAACTTCTGCCTTGAGAGATCTCTGGAGAACAAGAAGAGGAGGCAGGAGAGCAGCGCTCCCTGGTCCTGCAAAAAGGAATCCTTTTGAGAAGGATGCTGGCTTGTTGGGGCAGCTTTCCTTCATGCAGCTCCCCGTCACTCCTCCTTCTCTCTTTGTAATTCAACCAAGAACTTTGGCGTGCTGCTTGTATGCACACACCATTCCAAGCTTGGAGACTTTTATCCACATCTGAGCTGGCAAGCTGCCAATCATAGCTTGGGGAGAAGGACCTCTCCTTCCTCTGTGGATAAAAGTCCCCAAACTTGGAATATGGAGTGTGTGTGTGTGTGTGTGCGTGCGTGCACCCAGCCTTGCCTACCTATTCACAGTGACCTGGCCATGCTCACCCAGCCATGCCCACCTGGCCCTTAGAAGGCAACCATAATGCTGATGCGGCCCTCAATGAAATTGAGTTTGACACCCCTGCTCTAGCACTTTAAAAAGTTTGCAAAGTTTTAAATAGGGTGAATGGGCTTCAATTGCTAAGAAGTCATTAGAGGAGCTAGAGCTTGAGCCTCAAATTGTGCTGCCTTTAATAGTCCCAGATATTTGAAGTAACAAGATTCACACATTATGCTTGGTCAAAATGTCTTTCATTTAATGTTGGCTGTGTAACAAGTTCTTGTACTTCTTCCTGGCAGCTCATCTGGTAGATTAATATTAACATATGGACTCCAGATATTCTGAGATCTCCATTCTTAGAAATCCCATTATATCTGGAGGGCTTCACATTAGAAAAAGCTGATTTACATTAAAAATACATATATCTGAGAAACCATTGCTGGGGAAAATGCTGAATGATCTGTACTGGTATATACAGTATACTATTGTATATACAGGTAATCCTCAACCACAGTTCAGCCCAAAATATCTGTTGCTAAGCATTTTGCCTCATTTTACAACTTGTCTTGCCCCAGTTGTTAAGTGAATCACTGCGGTTGTTAAGTTAGTAACACAGTTGTCAATTGAATTTGGCTTCTTCGTGGATTTTGCTTGTCAGGAGGTCACAAAAGATGATCACGTGACCCTGGCACACTGCAACCATCATAAATATGAACCAGTTGCCAAGAGTCCAAATTTTGATCATGTGACCATGGAATGTTGAAAGGGTTGTAAGTGTGAAAAACGGTCATTCATAAGTCACTTTTTTCAATGCCGTTGTAACTTTGAACAGTCACTAAACAAATAGTTGTAAGTCGATGACTATCTGTAGTTCAAAAAAGATGGGGAAAATGGCTTTGGATTTCATTCAAACAGAGAATTTCTCTAGTACTGTATTCATCAGAGCCTGGCCTTATTTTGCATGAGTGTGAAAAAAGGTGCTGGTGTTTTAAGAGTCATGCTAACTTTAATGGGGGGGCAAAGTTTCATGTGGAACAAGCTGCTCTGTTCACACACACAGTCCAAAAAAACCACTATTAAGGTGTGCACTGGTTTAATGTGCCTTATGTTCCAGTAACATGTACTGGGAGAAGATGGCAGCCATAGCATCACAATGAAACCCTGCCTACTTTAGTAAGTGCATGTTGAGGATAACGGCCTTCCATGGGGATGTCACACCCATATTTTGCATATTTTGACACTCCCATGGATGGGCCTGCAATACATTGTCTAAGTTAACTAGGAATAACAAACTCAGTTTCAGTAAGACTGTTCTAGTTGTCTCACCAGGTTCCCATTTCTTCAGATTTGCCATGGCAGTTACAAATGGCTCCGTCAACATCACGGAAGCATTTCCATATATCAGGTATGGATTTTTTCCCCCCCAATTTAGGTATTTTGGCGGGAAAACTTACCTCACCAGCCCAAAATCATGTTCCATTCTAATCCTCTTCTCCCCCAATTCGTAAAGGCCACGTTATCCCTGGTAAAGATGAAGGGCTTTTTTGTAGTTGCCCCAATTTTATAGAACACCCTCTCCAAGTTGTTTGCCTGCTTATATTTTTGCTTTTTATGATTTAGGATAGTCTTTCCCAACCTTAGCAATTTCCGGTATGAATTTCAACTCCCCGAATTCTCCTCAGTGGCTATGCTGGCTGTGGAATTCTGGGAGTTGAAGTCCACATACCTGGAAATTGCCGTGACTGGGATAGCTGTCCTAAATCAAAAGGGGCAAAAAGACAAGCAAGCAAAAAACTGGGGATTTAGGATAAGGTGGACCGATGGTTAAGAAAAGGTTTTGGGTAAGGTGGAAGAAGGTTTCACCTCCAAAAACAAACAATACAGGTCATCCTTGACTTATGGGCACACTTGGGATCAAAATTTCCATTGTTAAGCAAGGTGACCTGACCTAGGGGATTCTATGATGGTCATAAGTTGACAACTGGTCATAAGTCCCTTTTTCAGTGCTGTTGTAACTTCAAACAGTCACTAAATAAATTGTTATAAGTCAAGGACTACCTCTACTTTATTGTTATTAATATGTGTGAAAAAAAATCACATGTACTAGTTGAGTTATGGCATGTGAGTTAATCACCTTGCTCATCCAAATTTGCTTAAGTCTGTCAAATCTAGTCTAAATGTAATTGACTTTTACACTTACATTTGATCTTGGGAAAATTGCAGAGATGGAGTAGAAAATATCAACCCTTCAAAAGATGCGGGAGGGAGGGAGGGAGGGCAAACAGGGCCATTGGAAAAAATGGGGGCATTTATCATGTATAGCTTAGGCTAGGGGTTTCCAAACTTGGCAAATTTAAGACTTGTGGACTTCAACTCCCAGAATTCCATGTTGGCTGGGGAATTCTGGGAGTTGAAGTCCACAAGTCTTAAATTTGCCAAGTTTGAAGACCCCTAGCCTAAGCTATAGACTCTGTCAATTTTCTTTTACACAGAAAACATTCCTTCACCCAAATACATACTAGAAAAGTCAAGTATTAAATTGTTTTTTTTTTTAAATCAAGCTTTGCCGCAGGAGTAAGCTAATGAGAATTATAACCTAATACAACCTATAACCACCAGCCCGTGGAAAGGCAGTTTTTGGTCTCTTTGAATATGATATCTTGGGATGGGGACTTCTGAAGCAACGAGTAAAACAGCCACAGCTTCTAAAATTGCATCTAGTTATGTGAAATTTCCTAATTTCTTGTTTCTCAGCACGTGTGGTGCTTATCCACCCCAGAGTTGTGTGTTTGGACAAATTCTTAATCTTGGAGCCTTTTTAGGTAAGGTATTTCTCTCCATCTATTCCCCATCCTATAAATGCTACAAGACCATGTAGTTAATAGCTTAATGCATCAATCCGTTAGATGAGCAGGCTCAATGTGCCCTCTCTTACAATGGACACTCCTGAATTTGGGGATTCTGATGACCCATCACCCCTTTCAGAAGAAAGCATGGTGACTTGTTAAAACTGTTTTTCTTCATATCGATTCTTTCTGCAGAGCTGTTTTTAAAGAAACACTCAAGGATTTTACAATAATGAACGTGTTGCGCAGTCATCAGGCTTCACACAGAATTATGGCTTAGCACATTGGGTGAATCCAACATTGTGCTTGATAAATGTGTTCTTTAGTTCAATTGATTGTAGCATTCTTTTAGTTGGGCCAATGTTTTCAATGAAGTGTTAATACCAGTAGAATGTATGTCTTTAGTGAAAGGCAGCAGATCCAAGAATACCAATAATGGCTGTTTCTTTATCTCTCCTCTTTCCGCAATTAAGTGCAGGGTCAACTTGTTAGAATAACAAGTAGTCTTGGCACTTCTCTTATATCAAAACTGCCCTGTTGCATTTCAAAGAAAGTGATTGTAACACCTCACACTTTGATAGATACTTGAGTCTCCTTTCTTATCTTGCATCCTTATCAGTTGTAAAGTAATTATCAGCTGGAGTCTCTATATTGTGTTTCCATGAAAATAAGACCTGGTCTTATATTATTTTTGCCTCCAAAAGAGGCACTAGGTCTTACTTTCGGGGGATGTCTTACGTTAGGACCACCACAGCCAGGCCTCCCACACCGACACTTACGGCTGGACGTGGCGTATTGCGCCATTGCCACTGCTCGTGGCAGGAGGCCGAATGGTGCTTCACACTGTTGCTGCCGCTCGCAGCAGGAAGCCTCATGGCCTTTCAGGCCGTTGCCATCGCTTGCAGCAGAAGGCCGCAAAGTGCTTTGGCTGCGAAGCGCCATGTGGTGTCCTGTCGCGAGCAGCGGAAACAGCCCAAAGCGCCATGCGGTGTCCTGCTGCAAGCAGTGGCACCAGTGTGACAAATCACACGGCGCAACATGTTTCGGGGCATGGAAGGCCTGGCTTTGGCGGTCCTACCAGTAAGGTAAGTGGGTGCGGGGCACGTGGGGCAGCTGCACCCACCCCCACTTTCGCCCTAGCTTGATTTTTAGGTGTGCACCTTGCCCCAAAATTAGGGTTTATTTTGGGGGTAGGGCCCACCCCCAAAAACCAAGCTAGGTCTTCCTTTCAGGGTAGGTCTTACATGGTAGATATAGGCATACTTAAACTGTTTTTAATCAATGTTTTACATGAGATCTATGTAATTTTGGGATTCTTGGATATAACCAGAGACTCACCATAACCTACTAGCTTTGAAATAATAAAATGCTCAGCAAATTCTTTCCATGTTAAAAAAAAATAATCAAAAGTTTAGTATCACCTTTTCTGAGTAACAAATGTAATTAAAAGGCATTAGCTCAGCTGCAGCTCTGGAAAGTTTATGCCTTTTAATACAATTTGTTACTCAGAAAAGATGCTATCTGACTCCTACATTTTTGCTATGATAAACTAAGCACAGCTCTTCTATACTGTCTACAAGAGGCTCTATTTCCAGTTGCTGGGGTTTCTTGAGTGAGTTTCTTACCATGCTTAAGTGTTGAACAAACCAACTAAAGGGGACCCCAAAGATGCTTTTTCATGAGCCAACTGGATTTTCTTGTTTTTCTTTGAAGACATTTTGTTTCTCATCCAAGAAGCTTCTTCAATCAAAGGTGATTTTTTTTTCAGTGAACCGTGTTGAAACAAACCATGGCTTGGCATAATATCTGAACCAACCAGCATAATCTATTCAAGCACTGTTACAATTACTTCTTCTCTGTTGTCTTTCAAGGAATGTGGGTCACTTACCATTGGGTAGGGAAGGAAGGAAGGAAGGGAGGGAGATATGCTGACCTATGTAAAGAGCAGCAAATTCTTTTGGGGATGTGTTTAACAACAATGGATCAGCATATTATGCTATAAATATATCTGACCAAAAAAATAACTTATCCCACTGTTATTTTCAGGTGTGGTGATTTGCTTTCTAAAGTACCAACAGGTTCGAGATTATGGCTGTCATTCCTGTCTGAATTTAGTTGGACTTATTTTAGGTCTACTTTGCGCCTTTGGTGCATCATTAGTGGGGAATTTCCAGGTAAGCTACCACTGAGGTATAGAAAGACCAGAGCATGAGGAAGAGAAAGCAAGAGAATCCCCATGGACAGGAATCTAGACAGAAATCATAGACAAAATCTCCATAGACCATGGCTGGCTCGGGGAATTTTGGGAGTTGAAGTCCACGAATCATAAAAAAGCCAAGGTTGCCTACCCTGCCATAGACAGAAAGTCAGCATTCTTCTACACTGTCACATAGTTTCAATCCTAAACCTAAAAAAACCCTCCACTCTTTGAAGCTGATCTATATTGATTCCCACTACCCCACAGCTTAATTCAAAGCTCTGGAAACCATCTGACTGGTTGCAGAGCAGAAGAAATAGCATCAGCTAGCATCTCTCACCCCCCGGTCACATTGTTGTTTTCCACTTGGAATCATCCCAATACTTGGGATAGGGGCTGATAAGTTATAGGTCAGGGGTCTTCAAACTTGGCAACTTTAAGACTTGTGGACTTCAACTCCCAGAATTCCTCAGCCAGTCAGGCTGGCTGAGGAATTCTGGGAGTTGAAGTCCACAAGTCTTAAAGTTGCCAAGTTTGAAGACCCCTGTTATAGGTAGTCCTTGGCTTATGACCACAGTTGGGACCAGAATTTCCATTGCTAAGCAAGTGAAGTGAGTTGTGGTTGATTTCATGATCTTCCCCCCCCCCCCCATGGCTGTTAGGTGAATTGCTGCAGTTGTTAAGTGAATCATATGTTTATTAAGTCAATCCGGTTTGCCCCATTGATTTTGCTTGTCAGAAGCTAGCTGGAAGGTTGCAGATAGCAATCACATGACCACGGGATCCTGTAATCCTTGTAAATACATGCCAGTTGCCAAATGCCCAAATTTTGATCACGTGACTGTGAGAATGCTGCAATGGTTGCGAATGTGAGGATTAGTTGTAAGTCACTTTTTTCAGTGTTGTTGTAATTTCAAACAGTCGCTAAATGAATGGTTATAAGTCGAGGACTGCCTGTACAACAGCACCATTCTCCTGCCCAGTATCAGAGGTCAGTACTCAGAAGAGAGCAAATTATTTTTATTTAATTGATGCATTATTATTTTTTTTATCCCACCTTTATTTTGTCCAGGTCAAGGTGTGCCATACACAGTGATTCCTTGTCCTATAATTCCCATGATAACAATGCCATGAGGTGACTTGGACTGAGAGAGTGTGATTGGCCCAAAGTCACTCAGCCAACTTTCCTGCCTAAGAAGGACTCACAATCTCCTCGCTTCTAATCCAGCACTTTAATCCCTGCACCAAATGGGTCCTCATTACTGAGATCCTTTCATTTAAATTAGCACAGAAAAGCTATTAGAAGTTCTTCTCTCTGGGACAATTCTAGCATCTGAAGCTGGGAAGCAGCACCTTTCCAGTGTTCTTGACTTACAACAGTCCGTTTGGTGATTGTTCAAAGTTACAACGGCACTGAAAAAAGTGACTTATGACCATTTTTCACAGTTAGGACTGTCGCAGCACCCCCATGGTCCATATGATCCATTTGGATGCTTGACGACTAACTCATATTTATGACCGTTGTAGTGTCCCGGGGTCATGTGATCACATTTTGCGATCTTTTGGCAAGCAAAGTCAATGAGGAAGCCAGATTCACTTATAAACCATATTACTAATTTAACAACTGCAGTGATTCACTTAAAAACTGGCAAGAAAGGTTGTAAAATGGGGTAAAACTCACTTAACAGATGTCTCGTTTAACCACAGAAATGTTAGGCTCAATTGTGATCATAAGCCGAGGACTACCTGTATTTGATTGCACAATCTATATAAATAATTATGTTCTGCTACCTATTATGTTCTTCCTCTGTATTTAAGGACATGGAATGACCCTTCTGTCTTTCCCTCTTTTTCAGCAATATAACCAACTGGAAGTCCATGTGACGGGTGCCTTCTTGGCTTTTGTGGTTGGCATCTTTTACTTCTGGATCCAGAGTTTTCTGACCAACCAAGTGAAACCAAGACATGGAGGGAGCTGGATCGGACCACTCCGGTTCTTCCTTAGCTTTTGTGGTTCTGCCTTGTTTATTTCCAGTATCCTGAATAAGAGATCGGCACAGCTGGAGCATGGGGTGGGTGGGTGGGTGGATGGGAATCTCAGTTCTGGAATAGGGGTGTGCAGAAAGAGATGGCGGAGGTGGAGTAGCAGTCTTTAGGGTTGAAGGGGCAGGAGAAGTAGAATCGTTGTTACTATTGCTCTAACATTAGTTTGGAAGAGGCATGAGCCTCATGAAATTTTCTCTGAAGATATTTTAGGGAGCGTTGCAAGATCAGAGAAGACTTCAGATCCTTAGGGAATGTCCCAAAGGTGCTTTTTTCAAAAGGCAACTGGACTTTCTGTTTTTCCTTGAAGACATTACGCTTCTCATTCAAGAAGCTTGTTCAGTTCTGTCATCATAGAACAGCCCTCTCTCAACAGAGGGGGAGGGATACGACATCATCTATCTCCAGCCTACAACACAGTCCTTTCAGCAGTTCCAAGAAGGTTCCACATCTGTTTGCACCACTCAGTTGATCTTGAAGACACAGATAAACTTGGAGAGCCTCAACGACTCTCCAAAAGAATGAAAATGACCAGCTGTCTGCAAGGAGTATAAATCCTTCCATTCCCCACCATCCAGTCAGAGCTGAAGAAGCTTCTTGGATGAGAAGCGTAAATTCTTCAAAGAAACAACAAGAAAGTCAGTTGCTTGTTGAAAAAAAGCACCTTTGGGACGACCATCCTCCTCCACTTCCCATCAAACTGAAGCCACCCCTGGAATGTATGTCGCCCTCTCCAACTCTGTTGTGAATTTGGCTCCACTAGCTGAAAATTATGATGCCTTGACTTTTCAACTTCAGCGGTTGCTCTTTTTTCCCTGCAATTGCACTCTGAGGCAGCCTACTGTGAATGGGCCATGGCCATGGCCCTCTTCCTGCTGTTTGGCCTTTTTGCGGTGGATTTCCAGCACATCGGCGGCTGCTCAGTCCATGTACGGCACCGGTGTGCAGATGAGAACTCCCAGAACATGCAGACCTCAGTGCAGACTCTTCCGCTCTGATTCTTCTCATTCCACAGAAGAAGGTGGTTTCTCAATGAACCTGTCCATGCACCAGGCCTGATTTTCTGGTGGAAAATGCTGCATCAGGTCCTCAGCATTTGGCTGTGAGGGAAAGAGAGCCTAAAACATTGCCTGACCTATCATTTTCTCATTTTGAAAAGTTTTCTTATTTGGCCGTCCTTATTTTGGATCCATATAATTCTGTGGTAGAGGAGAAATACCCTAAGTGTCCTTCAGCCATTTTCTTTTGACAGGGAAGTTAGCCCCAGTGTTTTTCATTGGAAGATCTACTTGTCATCTTCTGTGTTTTTTTCTTTGCAAACTACTTCCCAATTGGCCAGCTTGCCTGCCCGAACCAGCTTCATGGAAGAATCCGTTACAAATTGAAAAGTGACAAAGCCTTGTTTTTTTTATCTCCTAGTAGGAGTATTGACTCCCTAGTGTAGATGAAAATGAATAGTTTTCCTCCTTTTCACTCTTCTTTGCCAGCAGAGCCATGGAGAAGAACGAAGGAAGAAAGCAGACAAAGCAGCACAACCATTTTGCACAGTAGATCTTGCTACCTCAAAGCTGACTAAACTACATGTACTTATATTCTAAAACCAGTTTAAACAGTTAGAATGGTTATATCTACACATGCATGAACTGTTTCTTTTGGACTTGCAAGATAATAATACTATCCAACTTCTTAAAATGTGTATATCTGATTTATAGGTAGATTTATGCTCATCAGAGTGAATCCAGTTTCTTTATATCTTTGAGAAATTAACAAATTTGGGTGTCCTTCCTCTGATCAAAAAGGAACTTGCTTTTCCTAATATTTAATGAAGTTGCGTTATCCCATTAGAAGGCCAGAGCTGAAAATCTAAAGCTGCCCTCTTTCTTTTATGTTTTCTTAAAACTTTGCCTAAATTATACTCTACCACAAGGGGGGGGGGGGAATGTTTCTATCTTCCTCCCTGACTTTTATTTTAATTGCTGTATTTATAATTTTTCCTGGCCCAATTTCAGTTCTTTTGTGATGGAAAATTAATAAATATAATGTTTTTGGCTCCTATCTTGTTCAGAGAAGAATGTTTCCTTTTTTTTCTTAGATCACAGCAAGTCTGGTGCATTTGTATGCAACATTAATATTATATTGAATATTTTTAACTATGTAGAAAATAGAAAGGCTGTGTCTCCCAGACAGATTTGGAGATAAACCATCTTAAACCAGGTGAAGATTTACAAATGTTTGAAGATAACAATACATTTTTAGCTAAGTGGGAAAAACTCTCAGACGGAGAGTTTTCTGCAAGTGTGAAAATGAATTCTGGCAATCAAAGGATAATGAATAGTTCCATGTTTCTTTGGAGGCGGGACAGTAAATAGAATTAACCATTCTTAAATCAAAGCATGCTGGGAATCTTTTAAAAAGGATGGTGCTCTCTAAATGGACTGCTACCCAAACAATTCCATCTCTTCAGACACATTCTAACACAGGGGTGGACAACTATAGCAACTTTACAACCTATGGATTTCAGTTCCCAGAATTCCTAAGCCAGCTCTTCCTTGTTAACAATGGAATTTTTCTTGTTAATAATGGAATTCCTAAATGTGGTGAGTATTTTGTGGGTAACCTGTCATTTTTAGTCTCAGTTTTTCATTGTATATGGCACTCTCTGCAGCCCCTTTCACAGCTATAACCTTTGCATGAATCATTGCATTATCTTTATCCCTACTTGTGCCACAAACGTATAAATTATCTACTACTTTTCAACACAGATTCTAAAGGTGCAATCCTTTGTAACACAGAAATCTGAGCTCATAGTCCAATCATCCACTCTTGCTTTCCACTGTCCATTTTTATAAACATACCCCATCTTTCTTCTTCATTCCTGGCAAACACCTAAATCTATCCTTAAATCCCTGAAGATACGGTTATTCGTTTCATCTGTACAGATAATCCTCGATTTACAATCATTCATTTAATGACTTTTCGAAATTAAATTAAATAATTGCTGAAAAAAAGTGACTTATGACGGTTTTCACACTTAAGACCGTTGTAGCATCCCCATGGTCATGTGATCAGAATTTGGATGCTTGGTGACCAGCTCATATTTATGACAGTTGCATTGTCCCAGGATCATGTGATCACCTTCTGTGACCTTCTGACAAGCAAAGTCAATGGGGAAGCCAGATTCACTTTATAATCATGTTACTAACTAGACCAGGGGTAGGCAACCTTGGCTCTTTTATGACTCATGGACTTCAACTCCCAGAATTCCTGAGCCAGCTGGCTCAGGAATTCTGGGAGTTGAAGTCCATGAGTCATAAAAGAGCCAAGGTTGCCTACCACTGAACTAGACAATGATGCAGTGATTCAGTTAAGAACTGTGGCAAGAAAGATCGTAAAATTGGGGCAAAACCCACTTAACAATTGTCTCACTTAGCAACAAATTTTGGGCTCAATTGTGGTCAAAAGTTGAGGACTATCTGCACAGGCGGTCCTCATTTAATGACAGGTCACTTAAGGACCGTTTGAAGTTACAATGGACCACCCCCAGTTACTTACAACCCATCCTTAAGTTACAACTAATGTATACACACACCCTCCTCCCTTGGCCACATGATCACATTTCTTGGCAGCTTGGCAACTGAGTCACATTTACTATTGGTTGCAGTGTCCCACAGTCATATGACCCCAATTTGCTAATTTTTTGCTAGCTTCTGACAAAAAAAAAAGTCCATTCAGGAGAATTGATTTGCTTAATGACCACATGATCTGCTTGTAAAAACAGTCATAAAAATAAAGTCATTCGGTGACCCACTTAACAACTGCAACAACTTAAAACAAATGCTGGGCTCAATTCTGGTCATTAAGTAAGGACTACCTGTACATTTAATATCCTGGTTTGTCTAAAACTCAACTCAGATGCCCCTCTGATTTGGGTAGCTCCATCTCTTGATGACCATACCCTGAAAACCTGAAATAATTGCAGGTTTTCTTACAACGATGGGTGTGTGTTTTTTCTTAGCAAAATGATTACAGAATGTATCTGCGTTTATAGCATAGAAATGGTATCGCCTACACTTCCCTAAGGTAGCCAGAATCACTTTCCCTGAAGAGACCTTGTTGACAATTTTATCCATACTCAAGACAGCACCACTTAGCTCTCAGCAGCAAAGGAATTTGAGCGATTGTATATATATTTTTTCTGAGCAATATTTAGATTCCCTCCCAGAGATGACAAAACATTGGAAGGTTGGACTATCAGAAGGAAGAGGAGATGGGTATGTGTGTGCATTTTCGTGTGTGTGTGTGTGTGTATACAAACAATAAGAACGGATTCACAAAAGAAATGGACAGATCCAGCTAGGAAACAGGGCAGAAGGGATGCAGATCACATCTGATTCTCTCCAGTTCATGCACACTCCCACATGCACTTTTCCCCACAACTTGTGCTTCCCCTCCCAACCGACTCAAATAGGATGGGGAGGAGGAAAAAGAAACAGGATTGATTTTGGAGACTTCCCACAACCCACCCTACCTCCAGGCCCCAAGCTGAAGGATCAAGGATGAATATCTTGCTGTCCATTGATTTATGAAACCCTAGGGCAGGGGTAGGCAACCTTGGCTCTTTTATGACTCGTGGACTTCAACTCCCAGAATTCCTGAGCCAGCCATGCTGAGGGGAAAGGGAGAGGTTTCCAAGCTGAGCCATGCTGCCTCAGGAATTCTGGGAATTGAAGTCCACGAGTCATAAAAGAGCCAAGGTTGCCTACCCCTGCCCTAAGGTTTTTATTTACTCCTGTCTCTCCATCCCAGTTACTAATTTCTATGAAGTTTGCCCCTCGTCCAAGTGTTGAGGTGGCAGGTCCTAATGTTGTTCAATGCCCCTTGTTCAAATGTTGACAATGTTGAGGCGACAGGTCCTAACCCTGGTGTCCCCAAACTCCTCTGCCTTCCAGGGGCATCCTGGACAAGGGAAAGGCTTGTCAAAATTTAAAAAAAAAGTCAAAATAGCAAATGCAACCATGTAATCCAAATTTGTCTCTATTTTATGATACCTCCCCCCATTCCTGCTACCTTCAATCAATAACACAGTACTCTCTACTCACCGCTGAGCATTTTCTTCTCATCTTCTCTCTCACTCTCTCTTTCTATCTCTCTCTCTCTCTCTCTCTCTCACACACACACGCACACACACACACAAACCTACAAAGGACTACCTTGGGTGTGTGGGACCAGGCCCTTTGCAAAAAGGACAGAGGCCTCAGGGAAGGAGTTGGATTGTATATAGCCCATTTAAGAGTCAAAGAATTCTGTCAGGGCTGCTAAAATTACATGAGACAGAGCCAATGAGAAGCTGAGATCAGTCATTCAATTCGTTGAGATATTGCCAGCCAGCAGAGATTATAGAAATACTTTTTAAAAAAACCCTAATTTTGGCAGTAAAAGGACACAGGCAAAAACAGAATAGGGTGGGATGTTATGAAATATACTCATGTTTCTTTTATAAATTCAGGGACAGCTGAAAAAAAAAAGAATTCCTCTCTTAAAATAGCCATTTGCCCTTAATACAGACACAATTTAAAATCTGCCAATGGTCTCCTTAAAGAGCTGTGATACGAAGCAGGAGAAGTGCACAATAAAAACCAAATCTGAAAGTTCCCCAAATCCATTTAATTGGAATAAAGAGCATTCACATTAGTTCAGAACCCAAGTTGGAGTAAGAATGGAGATTATAACTACACTGTGCTACAATTGTTTTGCAAACTCAGATGGCTCATTTTTAATGCTATTGACTATTCCTGGCCATGCACAGGTTATATTTGCTGATTTTCCAAAAATTGCGATTTGAAACTGTACTGTATTTATTATTGAAGCTTTAGGTAATTTTTGGCATTTGGCATTTTTATTTATTTATTTACTTACTTACTTACTTTTCCCATTTCTCTTTTGAGCAAATTTTCAAAATGCCAGCTGCCAGTAAAATAACTATAGTATAAGCACAACG